TTTTTTATTTGCGATTTCTTCTCTATAAGATATTTGTATTAAATTTGAAATCCAACGTTTCGTTCCTCTGGAATCATCATCAATTTTTTTTTTTTAAATACGGACCTGCTTTTTTTACCGTGTTATTGAAAAATTATAAACAGTATCGGCTTTAGGATGCCCAAAGATGACAAAATCGCAAATAAAAAATCTAGGTCTGTATTTAAAAAACTTAAGTTGAGGATGGCCGCCTGAAGACGAAACGTCGAATTTTGAAATTTAGTAGTACCATCTTCTAAAGGAGAAAAAGTGAAAATGATGAAGTGACAGTTATTTTAAAATTGCTTTTTAAATAAGCCCGGGAAAAAATAAAAACGATTCTACTAAATTTCGTTTTTTTCCGAATATCTCCGGAAGTATTTGGAATCTTTCTAGTTTCAAAACGACATTCTATTGGTCATAAAATTGCGCAACTTTGCCATAATTTAACCGACCCCGTATCTCTTACGGTTACCGAGGTCCCAATGATGAGGCTCGAATTTGGGCAACCCTATACACTGTACAGGGTGTTCCGACATTAATGCACCAAATTTTTATGGCATATTCTACGTCAAAAATAAGCCCTAGTTACCTATATAAACATATGTCCGAAAACGCTTCCTTTCCGAGATACAGGGTGTTGAAATTCTAAGAATTTATGATAATTCATACCACTTTGAAACAGAGCTGGGCAAAGCCCTCAGTAAAAGGGCTTGAAGCACTAAGCCCTAAGCCCTTTATTAAAGTGCTTTCAATTTCAAGCACAAATTCCTTTTTATTTTCAGAAGTGCTTCACAAGCACAAAGCCCTCAAAGTGCTTTGGGCTTGGCAAGCACAAAGCCCTCAAAGTGATTTGAAAAGTGCTTGAAGCACATCAAAAGTGTTTGGGGAGCCTTCAAAAGTGCTTTGAAGCCCTTTAAATGTGCTTGAAGTTCTTTAAATGTGCTTGAAGCTCTTTAAATGTGCCTAAAGCACTTTGAATTTGTAATAAAATTCTCAAAGTGGCATAAGCTACCGCGTACACTCATCAGTTGAATTGGTATACCTAATAGAGATGAAGTTTACATTTCACAGAGTAGCAGTAGAATGTTTTTTTTTTTTTGAGATGTAGTTCTGGGGTACTTGGGGTAGTTAGGGTACTACATGATAATTCAATTTTAAGGTTTTCAAAATGTTCAATGAGGAAAAGTGAAAAAAATCCAATGATAAAGTTAAATAGGGTACCAATAATATAAATTAACTATTTATTTGAATAATAAGTTCATTCATTTTTTTTTTTTTAATTCAATTCTAAGCTCAAATCCCAAATTTCCATTGTTAAGAGAGAAAAGACATAAGACGGTTCAAGTTCAAATAGTAGAAAAAAAAATTAAGCGACAAAACACATCGATCGTGGGGGATAGGTTGAATGATGGTCAATTCAAATTCCTTTCAAAGTGCTTCAAGTCCTTTCAAAGTGCTTCAAGCTCCCAAAAGTGCTTCAAGCCCTCTTAAAGTGCTTCAAGCCCTTTCAAAGTGCTTCAAGCTCCCAAAAGTGCTTCAAGCCCTCTAAAAGTAATTGAAGCTCATTGAAAGGGCTTGAATTACTTTTTTCAATTACAAATTACCAAGCACTTTTCTAAAGTAATTGACTTTGCAAGCCCCAATTACAAATCTACAAAAGGGCTTGAAGCACAGGGCTTTCAAGTCCTCAAAGTGCTTCAAGCACTTTCACAAGCACAAAGCACCCAAGCCTTGCCCAGCTCTGCTTTGAAATTTTGTGTACTGCTTTCAAGCAGCAAAAGACATTTTCTGATGTGAAATATTAAAAAAAAAATACCAGTGACGTCACAAAACTAATTTGAAACTTTAGGTGTTTAATGTTTAACATTTTTATCATAATTTTGGCGATTTTGCCATGAATCAAAATGGTTTTTTATTTTTTTACTTTAAAACGGTGCATTTTTTGGAAAAAAGTGAAGAGATCAAATTTGTTCCAAATTGAATGGGGATTTCAAAAATGATTCTTTTTTTAGGAAAAAGCTGCGACGCACCATTTTTTTCTTAAAAAATATTTCTTACAAATCTGGTAGGACGCCACTGGTAATTTAAAAAAAAAAATTCACATCAAAAAATTTCTTTTGTTGCTTGAAAGCATTGCACAAAATTCCAATGAAATATTTAGAGTGATTTGAAACTTATGATAAAAATATAGTTTTTTCTTAGAATGTCAACACCCGGTATCTCGTAAAGCAAGCGTTTTCGGACATAAGTTTATATAGGTAATGGGCTCTTTCACTAAAATTTAAATACGTAATTTAAGTATAAAATCCCAAAGGAGAGACTATTTTAGGCATATATACCAAAAAATAATGTTCTACAAGGTTAAATACGTTTTTTACAGGCATTTTAAACTACCAAAATTCAAATTAAATAAAAACGCGCCGATTTGCTGACGTCGTATAAATATTTTTCATTTCGCTTGTTGTTGCAAAGAGCTGTCCGCCTCGGCTGTATTTACCCTGTAGTAAATGCAGGTAAAGGTTCGAATGCGCTGTTGTCGGTGGTGACTAAATGTAGTGCAACGTAAAATAAATAAATAAAACTAAACATAGAAAATTATATTAAATTGTGTTTAAGCATAATTTCAATAAAAATGTTATAAAATCTTGAATCCATAACTAATTAATTTAACTACTTTTCATGATATTTTGCGAACATTTCAGAATTAAATCTATTACAAATTTTCAATGTTGACAATTAGTGGCAACACGGTCAAATTGCGAGCTGCGACGTCATAGAAATAAATTCTGGGTTTTTATTTGGAGGTATTTCTTTTTTTTCTGTTTTCTCAAGAAGGACTATGAATTTTTCAAAAGTAAAAATACAGAAAATTCTGTTTTTAGTTGCTTTATCCAAATATGCCAATTTCAAAAATTAGTGAAAGAGCCCATTGGGGTTTATTTTCGACGTAGAATATGCCATAACAATTTGGTGCATTAATTTCGGAACATCCTGTATAATAAAAGCATACACAGAGACAATAGTTGTAAATTTTGTCGTTTTCAATAATTAATCTTCCAAGTTTGGAACAAAAATACTGCTTCTAAAGGATCTGTATGGCTATTAGCTTTAATTTGGGTTTTTAAACACATACTTTGAGTTTGAAAGGGTTTCAAATCAAAAGAGGTGAAAAATCGCTAATGCCGTTAAAATGCAATTTTATATACTTATTTTAACAATTTTCTCCTCAGGTATTTCAAGAGACAAGCACTTTTAGGAAAAATTTAGAGACATGTTCTCTTGATTTTGAAAGAAAAAAACAAAAAGAACCCGTTTTGAGACAAGATCTGTGTTAAATTAAATGGTTTCGGAAAATCCCGGCATTGCAGAATGAGCTAGTTAACTAAAAGCATTTCGTCGTCGTTCGGGCAAAGTTCTTAATAAATCGGTGGTACTAATTAGTGATCCTAAAAACCTTTTGATCTCTTTTGTACTCTTCGGAATTTGCCATCATTTTGTGTGAGTTAGGTATAACACCGTCGTGTGCCCAAGGTATGCCACTTCTTTTCTAAGGAACTTCGATTTATTCAGCTGTATTTTGGAATTGGAATCTTTCGGAAGTTTTTCAAAAACGCTTCTGAGTCGATCCAGGTGTTCTTTTTGATTTCAAGTCCCTCGAAGTATGTTTTTCATATTCGTGGAAACGTCGCTAGGGTAGTCGTAAGGCCAAATAGCATTCTCAAAAATTAAAATATTTCCATTTTTGGTGTTAAAAGCTCGCTAAGTCTAGGTTGGTGCGGTGCAATACTGGCACCGAGACTGCTACCTTCTTAGTTTATCCACCAGGTCGGGTCAGTGATGTTCAGAAGAGGATAACGATCATCCAAGGTCTTCTTATCTTAAAAAAACCCTCCAGCGTCATTCCCCCAATTTCCTTGGGAGCACCCAGATGGAAGAACTCAATGGAGACGTGCTTGGACTGATTTTCTGATTTAGCATTTTGCTTATTTTTTTTCTCCATTTCTTGCTTTTTTATGAAGGAGTTACAATTTGGTGTAGACATGGACTACGTCAGAGGTGCGTATAGGGTGCTAAAATATGCCGGAAAACTATTTAATTGGATTTAAAATTTCATAGCATTCTTCTTCATTTAAATGATTTATGCGGACTTTTGAAAAATTTGTAGTGCTTATGAAGGACACTTAAGCATTACTGAAGTTAAGTCATTTTTGTCTATTTTGTGTTCATTACATTTTTCTACCCTTATGTCGTGTGAAAAATCTAAAGTTATAGGCTTGGTAGTGTTATTTCAAACTTTTGTTATTGCAAATCCACTATATACTTTTGATAAGCATTCTAAGATTCCGCAACTATGGATTTTTTGATATGCTATGTTGATTTCTCCGTATTTCACAGGAATTGTAACTTTATCCGAGCATGCGGTGTTATGTGAAAACCTTTGTCGTAATCTAGACTTGTTTGCAAAAATTTTAAATTTTTCAATCCTAAGACCATCATATTATGGAATTTAAAAAGATAAAATTCAAGGTCTTTACTGTTTGGTGAATTAAATATTTTTGATGAAGGAATTTTGTGATACTTACTGATTATTTCATTTAACTAATCAAGACTTAAGGATTAACTTTGTCAATGAGGATTTTTTCTCATATCTTTGGACAATAAAGCATGTTCTAGACTGAGAATTAATTATCCAGTTAATCTGCCCTTCAGACTCGTGCTGTCTTTTATCTATAGTTGTAAATTTACTGTTAGTAAAAAGGCAAATTGTCTGATATGTCACATCAGCTTCAGTTGAAACCACGGAACTAGTTCTAGACATTGGTTTCCATATAGGACTTTACCCCACATTACCCTCGGTTTTACTTAAAATTTTCAAAATTAAAATGTAATGTTTTTAATTCTTTTTGAGCTGATTCTGAATTGTTTGAACTTTGATATTAAATTATACCATATCGTAGTCAATGATATTTTTCATTTAGCAAAACAATCCACGTGAAGTTTCACTCATCACAAATAAATTTTAAACTTTGTGGAACATTTGGAGCAAAAGAAGAATGCCCAGAAGGGACTGTTGCTTGTCTAGAAAAGGCTGGAGTCAAACAAACACTTGGAACTAATTTTATTTTAGGTATTATTTTTTTTATTGGTCAATAACCTTTTGAAGTTTACCATAAATTTTTATTTTAGAGACTGACAACCAATTGAAATCCTACAGTCAAGATCAAAGTGAAATGTGTTCTTTAGTTGTCCATTTGCAATCTACAGAGGTAAGTTAAGAAAGTTTCACTCTACTTGAATAAGGAATAACTTAAGCATCGGTTGAAAATGGAAGTCTTGGAAAAGGCCTGGAGAGTCCACACTTTAACTGGTTCACCCATCATTTTTGCTTTACCCAATTTTTTTTTATAGCCTGAACAAATGTATTATGAAACTAAAGCAAATTGTACCTATCACTTAAAAATGAAACTCGATCCAATAAAAATCACGAAATGTGGCATTACCGTGTCAAACCACTATTTGGATCTAAGCCCCCTACAAGGTTCCTATAAAGTCTCAACCAAAGAAAGAAACTTTAGCATTGCCATTTGTGCAAAAGACACAGCTTGTCAGCAAGATAATATAAATGCATGCCAGTTTCAAGACGGAAATTTAACACAAATATCAGAAAGTTCAAGTTCATATTTTGTTTATGATGGCGACAAATTAGCGTTCCGTGGAGAAACTCATGTGGGCTCAAATGGAAAAAGTACGATGCAAAAATAAAAGCACAAACTTAAATTAATACACATTTTTTAGTTGACAAAAGGTTGGAACTTATTTTGAAATGCAATTGGGATAAGACAACAATACAAAGTGGTGATATGACATATGTGAAGAAGCTGAAACAAGGCAAGAGATTTTCATTTGAATTGGAGACTTCTTATGGATGTATTAAAAAGTCAATATCATGTATAGTAAGTATTTTTATTGTTCATTTTCCTAAATTAGTTAATATTTGATTTAGATAAATGACGATAATTATGTATATGACTTATCAAAAATTTACAAAGGACATCCTGGAAACTGGAAAGCATATGGACCAAATAGTAAATTTTTTATTCAATTTTGTGGCCCTGCAGATTTAACTGGAAGACAAAGCAGTTGTAAAGGTGAGCTTCTAAGATTAAACGTTCTACCATTGTTGAACAACGTGACTCCAGTTCTCATTGAACCAAAAGTCTATTCAGTTGAACAAAAGGTTATAAGAAGTAAAATACAATTTGAAAGAAACTTTCAACCCAAATTGGCCCGTCTAGCACTAACAGAAAAAAATCCCTAGTATATGTTTCTCAAATGGTTCTTTTCATCAAACCACATTGAAGGTTTTTTTAAAATTTCTTTTGATATTGGTATCTGGAAGGTTAAAGTTACACTTTTTTCTTAATCACTGTTTTTTATTTGACAGTTTCCTCTCTTGTAGATGTTTATTCAGGATTATCATATGTAGTACCTACCATTTGTTGGAACAAAACTTCAAAACCTATTATTTCTATTAATTATTTTCAGATTCTTATGCACAAGTATGTGAAAGCGTGAATGGAAAAGACATAAATAGAGGATCATTTTTATCTAATTTGCAACTTAATCACGAAGGAAATGAACTGAGAGCAACTATTGACAGTAAGCTTTAGAGAGTTTTGAATATTTTGTATAAACTGATGTTATTTTTAGCCGGTTCAAAATGTAGCTTAGGAAACGTAACACTCCGATATAGAAGTTATGTCGATTTTAGCTGCGCCAAGACAGATCATGGTCCGAAGTTTGTTAAATATGATGTTTGTGATACGTATTTTCAATGGAAAACTCCTCATGCATGTCCAGAATTGGTGAGTACAAATATTTAAGTTATCACTTATATTATATGAACTTATTTTAGAACGCTTTAAGCTGTGCTCATATTCATTCTGAGTCCCCCAACTGTACATTAATTATTGAGAATAGACATTATGATCTTAATGCTCTAAACACCACAATAACCTTAAAGGACCATCAAAATTCAACGAATGTAGAATTTAAATTTAACATTTGTGGACCAATTGATGATTCAGATACTAAATGTTGGAGAGATGTGTCTGTGTTAATGAAAAATTTGGATCAGCCTAATAAACGGCGCAGGTAGGCTATTGTATTTTAGTAATAATGATTGACTTTACTAATGTGTGGAATTGTTTCAGTTTAACTTCCTTGGGCAAGTTCTCTCACAGTACTATAGATAATGGCGATTTAGTTTTGAAATATAGTACTGGAACCTATTGCCGTGGCAGCGACTATAAAAGTGCCATTCGTATACAATGTTCTGAGAAAGAGGTATTACTTCCTTACAAACATTGAATTGCTCAAGTTATTTTTTTTACTTTCCTAGGAAAAACCTGTCTTATCTAAACAAGAAACATGTTATTATGAATTTTCATGGAAAACGCCAGGTGGTTGTTCTAAATTCAAAAATATTGAAGATAATCAGAAAACGACGTGTTCTTTTACAGATTTTGGAAATAAGCGAAGGTAAATAAATAATTGTTGGAATTTTACCTGCAGCTTTCACCTTGATAGATACATAGACCTAACTACTACTACTACTTCGTAGTAGTTAGGTCTATGATAGATAGAATGGTTTACAAAATTTACACATACCAAGCTTGGTGATTCCATGTATAACACCACATTTACTCTCACCTGGAAGGTTTGATTGTTGAGAAATGGCACTATCCGTGAGTAGCAGTGGCCTCGAACCCCATAGGGCTTCGCCTTCTCGAGAAGTTTCGTGTAGCGTGATTATTGTATCATTACACATTTTTATTAACTAAAAAAATGTGGGAGATATTTAAGAGTCGCAATATTTTGACGAAATTTCATCGAGACCCCGGCCAGATTCTGAGAACCCAGCTGTTTACGGCTATAGAGCGCGTCTATTATGCGAATTCTATTATATTCGATTCGAAACAACAAATACTTCTAGATAAATCTGTAATACGATGTCGTCTATGAATAGCGCGTACGAGTTAGTTTGAATAAGTCAGTTTAAATACGAGATTTGTTGTGTAAGGTTTGAAATAAGTGATGTTGCAACGGCTAATGAATGGAGGATGGAGCTCTGATGATATGGCTACAGGCTACAGGCCGAGGCATAAGTTTAGCCGATTGAACAAAAAAGTCAGAATTCATTTCATAAATAGGGAAAGGTAGGTATTTCTTTGGTAAATTCCACCATTGATACTATAAATTGAGATTATTGAGAATGTATCCAGACCGATTTTGGAACATCCTCCTCATCATCAATGCCATTTGTTTTCGAACAAAAAGAGTCAATAGGAGAAAATACACGAATGAAGCAATTTCTGGAAAAACTGCGAAAATTTGCCACAACACTTTTGAAATCAACAAAGGCGATGTCATAGCTACCTATGAGTATGTCAAAGTGATTTCAAAGTGTAAAACTGAAGAACATCTGTCTAATCGATAGGTTTAGCATAAAGGGAAAAATCATCTTAAAGCCTAAAAAGTTCCACAAAGGTAATAGTTATAATATTAAAAGGTAAAGGTATAGGTTTATTGTAAAAGTCATGCACTTATAGTCTGGCTAGCCAAACGGCGAACTGCAACAGAATATGCTGCTTGACGGAAATAAAAATAAACAAGATGGTGTCATATAATTTTTTTTGCTATATGGGCATGTGTAGTATTTTGAAATCGAAAAAAAACTGAGAATATTGCGAAATGATGAATGTGGAGAGGCGTGATTATTCAGAGGCATGATTCTATTGGTTAGAACCTAAGGTTACAGCCTGAACGACAGTACAGTGGCGTGGTTATTGGCGAAACTAAAAAAAAAAATCTAATAATTTTATTGGTTCATTTCCTTGATGTTTTCGGTGCCACTGAACCCAAAGACATGGCTGTCATCAAGTATGAATTCACGGTCAACGCGTGTTCGACGAGACATGCACAAACCCCGGAATAGACAGTAACAATACAACGAGGCGTTTTGTGTATGATTCAATCATAATATTATGTAGGTAATTAGTTTTAATTTCATTGATTTTTTTTTCTTCATCTATATAATATATAAAAATGAATGCCACTTTTCGTTGTAATTTTATAACTCAAGAACGGACTCACCTAGCAAAACCAAATGTTTAGGCTTTGTTTGGACTATTTATTAGATGGTTTATGTCAAGTTTGCACAAAATCGGTCGAGTGGTTCTTCATTTATCACATTTTTTGTAATAAATGAATTATTCAATAAATGGAGGATCATTTTGTTAATGGGGATTTTGCTGTCAAATTGAAACTTTTTTCAGCGTTGACAGTACCAGCATGTTGTTATGTCATTAATGTGGTCATTTCATTACTTATTTTATTTATTTATGAAAAAAATTTATTAAGCCCGCATACTGCACCATCTCTTATAACCGATACCAAGTTTATTTTGTATTTTGTCTACCGCGCCATCTCTGATACCTGGAACGAAGCTCGGCATTGCAGATACAGTAGAACAATGCTGCACAGAACTATTCCACTATTCCGATCAGATAGAGTGCAGAAATAGTAGGTCAGATAGAGTAGTGCAGATAGAGTAGAACAGATGGAGTAGTGCAGTGCATGCAGTGCAGATAGAGTGAAATAGGGTTGCGCTAGAGATTTTTTTTGTTTTCTTTACATTCTTTGAACATTCCTGTGCCTGAGTTTATTTATTTGGTGGTACACTTTACAAGAATAATGCCCACAAGCTGCCTAAAAAAGGATGATGTAAAATTTTAATTTTAGGTGACTTCTGATCCAGAGAGTGAACATTAATTTTCTTCAACCAAAGCCAAATTCACCATCGAAAAAAACTGAATTTAATTCAGCTAATAGATACGTTAACACAACATTTAATAGGTACCTATATTTAATACTTCAGAGGCGGTACGAAGTTCGCCGGGTCAGCTAGTTCTGTATAATAATCGATAATAAATCAATATTCAACTACCATTGTTGTGTTACCGAACCTACTACGGTCAAGCCTTTTTGCCAAATATCTATACCTATAGGCCAATAAAATTAGGAGTCCAACCCGGAACAAATTTGGGACAAGCTGAAATATTCAGGAAACCTTCTTTAGGTGGTCGACAATGTTTCCTTAGAAATCGCACCAAATCGCATGGGCCGTACTCGCCCAATCGGGCTTTAAACTAAAAAAATTGTGTTTTTTCTTATTTCTTTGGAAATATCTCAAAAACTATAAACTTTTTTGAAAATCTACAAGAGAACAAAATTGTTGCCAATAAAAATACCTACAAAATCATTTTTTATTTTTGAAAATCGTTCTAAAACAAAAAAGTTATGGGCTTATAAAAATTGGGCGGATTGGGCTTCGATTCTATTAAACTGCGTTTGGCAAATTGAACTTTATTAACGGTGAAGCAAATTAATTGAATGTTTTTCATAAAAGAAATATGGTAGTTGTCATATAAAACCAGTGAAAGAAAATATATTTTTTCAAAAAATTTACAGAAATTATACATTTTTTACTCATTTGCGGAATGGCGACGTGGTTTTTTTCGCTGCTCTCTTATTTTCTGCTTCTGGAACATCTCGACAATCAGTCCAGCAATAATCCGCCAACATGGCAACATTCCACTTACCCTGATATCGTTTCTCCATGATTGCGATGTCCTGATAGAAGCATTCTCCATGCTCGTCACTCAATGTCCCACAGTTGTCTGAAAAGAAGTCTAAATGTGAATGTAAAAAGTGGATTTTCAGGGACATGTTGCAACCTACTTCTTGGTACGATGATAACATCTTTTCGATTAGTTCAGCATAGTTGCCAGTCCTCTTATTTCCTAAGAAGTTTATTGCCACAAGACGAAAGTCTTCCCAGGCTTTTTTTTCTGTACCTTCCAAATCACAGTCAAAGTCAAGAGTGTTCTAATTTGAGAACCGATAAATATACCTTCCTTGATTTTCGCTTCACTTAATCTTGGAAATTTCTGACGAAGGTACTGAAAAGCAGCTCCATTTTTGTTCATTGCTTTTACGAAACTTTTCATAAGCCCTAGTTTAATATGCAACGGTGGCAGTAATACTTTTTGTGGGTCAACTAAAGGGTTATTTTGAACATTTTTTTTGCCCAGGTCGAAGTGACTGACGATGAGGCCAGACCTTTTTTATGTAATGCACATTTCTATCTTGACTATCCCATTCGCAGATAAAACAACAAAATTTCGTGTACCCCATTTGTAGACCAAGCAGAAGAGCTATAGCTTTCAAATCTCCGCAGATTTGCCAGTGATGTTCATCATACTTAATCCGCAACAAAAGGCTTTTCATATTTTCATAAGACTCTTTCATATGGACTGCGTCACCAATAGGAATCGACTGTAAAATATTTCCGTTATGTAGCGAAACAGCTTTTAAACTTAACTTAGAGCTATGAACTGTTTCCATTCGTTTTGTACATAGAAAATATCAAGGGCTCTCATCATTGCATCAACTGTTTTTGTCTAGTACGGAAAGCTTTCTAGAAGATTCCACTGTTGCAGTCTCGAGCCTAGAAGTTCTGCTTTGCTCTTTGGCATTGGCAATGCTAAGTCCCTTACGAGATCGTTTAACTCAGCTTGCGTTATCTTGTAGCGATCATCAACAGTGTTGCCAGTTTATTACAGATGTAGCAAATCTATTATATTTATCAAAGGTTAATTATTTTCATTATTACATTTCTAATAAATCTATTATATTTTCACTTATTTAACTGAAATCGTTCAATTTTTAGATATAATTGGAGCTCAAGCCGTATTGGCCCATTATTTAAAGACCCATAAGTTCTTTATTTTTAGTCCGATTTTCAAAAACAAAAAATTATTTTGTAGGTATTTTTATTGGCAACAATTTTCTTCTCTTGTAAATTTTCAAAAAAGTTTATAGTTTCTCAGATATTTCCAGTAGAAATATAACTAGTGCATAAAATATTTCCGGAAATTTTTGAAAATTTTGTCTGAAGCCAATTTTTTCTTTGGCGCTATGCACGAATGGTTTTGTTTAAAAAAATTGACTAAAGACGAAATTTTTAAAAATTTCCTTTAAGAAATATTTTATGCACGTGTTATATTTTGATAGGAAATTTCTCGAGTTTGAAGTTTATTTACTATAAGTTGTTTCGAATATTTTAAATATGATGATATGTTCTGTGATGGTTATTTTTATTGATCTTACCTATTTAAATTGCGTTTGTCAAAAAATATACACTTTGACAGATTTCTGACATCAATGCGTTTTAAATGGAAAAGCTGGTCTCAATGCCAAAAATGACAACCTAAAGGTGGGTTTCCGACGGACGCCGCGCGGCATTGTCGCATTGGAAATTGCACCCGGAAATATCCCGCTCACCAGGGATATTTCCACTTATCAATTTTTGAAAATTACGAGGTAAATTTCCAGTTAAATATGCACAAGGGAAATTTCCAAAGAAATTTAAAAAAATACAATTTTTTGAGTTTAAAGCCCGATTGGGCGAGTACGGCCCATGCGATTTAGTGCGATTTTTAAGGAAACATTGTCGACCACCTAAAGAAGGTATCCTGAATATTTCAGCTTGTCCCAAATTTGTTCCGGGTTGCCCCATGTTAACACCTTAGATTTACTAGCCTAATAGCGAGGCTGCTATAAAGTAGTAGGGAATAGAAAAGAGGTTGGGAACTCTCTAAGTCTTTTCCATATCAATGAAAGAAAGGATATAAATCATCCAGCCACATTTGAAGAAAATTTGGAACATCTTGGCAACATCATTCCTATACGCAACTGAAGAAGGAGGCTCGACAATTCTCTTGGGGAAACAAGGATATCTGAAGATAAACTGGTAGGACAGAACATCATCAAGCAGGAAACCGATACCGGCAGTGCTCATCCGATTTCCACATCACCAAACAACAAGAAGTGGACTAATTAGTAGGCAGTATGCTTGCAGACGGAGTTGTTGAAGAATTTTCAAGTCCGTGGTCATCGCCAATTGTACTAGTAACCAGATTTTGCGTCGATTTCAGGAAGCTTAACGATGTCAATTAGAAAGACAGTTACCCAATGCCCAGAATGAAAACCATCACAACATTTTCAGACTCAGGTTAGTTTCAAAAAAGGATATTGGCGGTTTACATTGACGAAAAAGCAAAAAGAAGACAGTGATGTGGTCTTTACCAGGGCAAGGCATTTAAATTAAGTTGAAAAATTAAAATTTGTAAAAAACCCAATCAAGAGATGATCCACCATGTAACGCCCCCGCCACTTTTGAGAGGCTGATCTAAGTCGTCTCACGAAGGCTTTTAAGGCGGGCACACACATACGGTATTCGGCGAGTCTCGAATCACAAATATTTGCTATTCGGCAAGTAGCGATTAGTGTGTATGGATTGCTGGGGCATAATATAGCGAATATTTGCCCGAGCAACCCACCCACGCCACTTGCCGAATAGCAAATATTTGTGATTCGAGACTCGCCGAATACCGCATGTCTGTGTCCGCCTTTACATGGAGAGTACCTTGTCTACACGGATTATGTGTTAGTGATTACATTAATTTTATAACTGTAGTGCAAAAAATACAACAAACAAAACATTACATATAAAGGATAAAAACCAGGTTTCTAAAGGCAATCTTGGAAATCATCAATGGCAACGACAATCTGACAAAGTTACAATAATATTTATTTGCAATCATATATGTAATCTTGTCATTACTGACTTTTTAAAAATTTGGAAGTGACACTTTACCTGTCTCACTTCCCTCTTCGATTTCCCTCATCGATTTCCCTATTCGACTTCCCTCACCGATTTCCCTCACTCTAATTTATTTACCTTTGCTGGCAACAATGAGAAGATGTCAGGTAAAAACTTCAAAGCAGTGAATGACATATTTTGGCATGTTTGTTTTATTTTTTTAATATTAAAAAAATTGATTGACTAATCATAATTAATGGTGTGCTTGCAAATAAAATAGTATACAAACCTCGGAGGAAAGTTTTAATTTCTGTCTCGAGATTAATAGTCAATCTCGACGCTTCGCGTCTCGATTAACTATATAATTCTCTCGACAGTAATGAAACACTTCCCTACTCGGTATGTAATATACTATTACTAATTTGCAGTATAATACGTATTGCTAGTTGTAGCGAATGACGCCATATTTGGTGGATGTTTTGGACGTTTGCTGAATTTATATTTTTTATATAAAATTAACGACACCTCAAATGTTCCCCATATGTCAACTAGCTGCTCAGGCTGCCCGGTATTCAAACTTATTAATTTAATTGCCGATTCGATGGGATGTTTATTGCAATTCAACAATAAACGGATATAAATTGCGCTGAAAGCCGCAGCAAAGGCAGACTTAAACCAGTGCAACTACCTCTCGTTGGGAAAGCCCCTCTGGAATTAAGTCTCCCCAGTGCAAGTACCTCTCGTTGGGAAAGCCCCTCTGGGAATCTTCAGTCTTATCGTTGTCCAGTGCAATAACCTCTCGTTGGGAAAGCCCTTCTGGACAAGGCATAAGGGTGACGATAACTAATCAACAGTCCCTCAAGCAGCGTTGACGTGTGGCTCCCTATAAGGGCCCCAGTGTTTGAAGGGTCATGCATCTTATAGGACTAGCGTACATGTAAGGGCATATTTGGGAAAATATATATCTACACTTTTATATAACTTGAGCGAGTTTCTCTCCACCGACCCCCAAAGTTACAAACCCCTCACGTCACCCCCGTAAGGCGGGATTTTGTGACAATAGTGTTAATATACTTAGTTCGTGTTCTAGAACTAGAATCTCTTTTTACATAATATAAATTTTACGTTTTGCCGAGCGTTTTGCGCAGAATCCTGACGGTGAATCGTATGATTCTCTACTGGGTTGGAACAAAGCTAATATAGGGTCTATTGGGTTTGAAAAAAAAACGGTTCGTCGCGCTGTCTATCAATCAACAAAATGACAACGGCTTAGCTACACTGATCTCAAAAATAAATAGATAAACAAAGAACGCTGCTAATGCTGCTAATTTACGAGGTTATAATGTAAACAAAAACAACTGACTGGGACAGCTATGAGCGTGCGCAGTGGATACATGTACTGTGCGTGCACAAAATCTGGCCAATGAAAACGAAGGAATTTCAAAATTTGGAACAGTTGTTCGAAAGATAAGACACTGCGCAGGCGTTAGGCTGTTCCGTTGCACAACTGTTCATAGAATATTGACCCTAAATTTTCGCACAATTTTAGCCAATCGAGCTGTACGATTGTTAATCCATTTATATCAGTGCTTAGCTATCACGAATTTCAGTAATAAACTGTGCGATTGTTTTGAACTATTCTATATATAACCGTCCTTTTTTCAAACCTGAACAAAGCTGTAAAATGTACCTATGAACTGTAGTACCTACATCCTACAACAACTTTTTTTTTTTTCAGTATCGATTTTGACCATTTAATCCCGATCGAGTTCGACATTGAAAAGCATAAATTAACTTTCGATATATGTGAAGGGTTTTACATAAATTGTACTGGTGAAGATAGTAAGTATTTGATTTAATTTTATATCCACAAGTAGACTAAAAAAAACATTTTTTTTTTTAGATTGTTCCACTGAAAAACTTTCAGCTCCAAATGTGACCTTCTCAACAGATACTAGTGCTGTAGATTTTATCCTTCAAAATGACTGCTCCCTGCCAGCTTCATTTAACAGTATTACTTTCAATTTTGTCTGTGATAAAATTAAAAATAATGACCATTTTGGTTTTGAGGCTTTAAATGACTGTAATTTGAAAGTGGATTATTTCACAAACGTTGTATGCTCTTTCCAAGCAAATAGTTCAGTAAATCACAATCAGAAACCCTCGATGGAGAAAACTGAGAAAAAAGAAGAATATCCAATGGAGGAAAACAAGAAAGGACCTCCAGTGGAAAAAGTAGTTGATTGTCATATTAAGAGCCCGGATTCTGAATATGAATTAAATGTGCACAACCTTCCAAATGCAAGTAAACATTTATTTTTTGGTACATTTATAAAACCTATTTTTTTTTTTAGGAATTTTTCCAGAATGAATGTCCTGAAACGAGTTTGTTCAATCAAAGTTATCGTTATGTTAAGTTACTTTACCATAGTAAGGACATATGTCGACCTATTCCTTCTAAAAGTGCGTACCATGCATACATATATTATTGTCAAATTTCATATGGGAGTCTTTTTAATGTAAACTGTTCAATCCCGAAAAAAAATGCAACCCCTTTGACCGATGAACAGCTGTCAGGCGTCCAGATTAATTAATAATGATGGCATGGAACGCTAATTAGGAGGGGGTTCATTGCTATGTTCTATAAATTGCAAGCCTATTTCCGTTGGCTCTCTCTCTCTATAAACCATTCTACAATGTTGCCATATTATATCTAACATAATAAACTTTTTTTTTTTCAGATATGTCTTATGAAGTGTATCTCATATGCTCGACTGAATCAGATATTTATTCTAACGTGAGTAGATGCCCTCTAAAATATGAACATTTCATTAGCAACTACTTATTTCAGAATGAAGAGTGCGTGCAAAATTTTCATTTTTCCTTACCAGAATACTGCGATTTTTTTAGACTTGATAAATCCAATCTTTCAATAATCATAGGTAAGTTCAATGTGAAAGATGTTCTCCAGTGATAGGTGTTACAATCGGATCTTTCTTCTATCTGTCCGCCATTGCCTTGAAAATAGCGAAATTATCAACTTAAAAGGTAACATAATGATGACATTAGCAAAACTTCTAATAAATGGCAAAGAATAACCTAATGAAATAACTGCATCCTTGTTGATAAGTATGTTTATTATGTCGATTTTATGCAACTTCTGAAGTCTTGAATACGACGTCTGTGTAACGATGACTGTCCATCACTTGCATTTGCGCATTCCGCAAAAAAATGTGACGAGCGTCCGCCAATGTGTCAAGAATCCTTGCATCCGCCAGTCTGTCGAATAACCTGCAATCTATAGTGAATTATTCTACTTTATTCGAGAAAATAGGATTAACGTGTGTATTCTAGATTTTACAGGAATAGATTTAGGGATATATAAAGGACGCTATTGCTTTGAAGTTTTAAGTTTCAGTTCAACTTTGATACGATTTGAATAGTGATTGTAAAGAGTTTAATTGTTGAATGTTTAGTTAGTTATTGAAGTAATTAGTGTCAGAGTGTATTGTTACGTGGAATAAATTATTGCTGTGTTAACTGGACGTTGATTTTTGGAATAAACGAAACGAACAACGAGCCCAAGATTTCTGTCAGGTAATCCAAAGCCGTGACAATTGGTGTCAGAAGTGAGACAGTGAGACATAAAGGACTACAGATCACTCACCAATTGCGGAAGTGCGGGGACACTAGTGTAGTGTAAAAACTGAACACTAAGTAAAGACTGGGAAAGTTATTCAGTGCAAACAGTGACAATCACAAAAAGAGACTTGACCGATCGTGTGAATTACCCCGGAAGTGACTCTATACCCGATTTTGACTGTGATAGTGAATCTTCGAGTGAGTTCTAGAAAATTTTATTTGGAAACTAAGGGAGATATCGAATTTGTAACTTCGCCGACGTATTCGGAACATCAATCGTCATTCACAAAAAGTTTTTCGAGGAGTTTCGTGAAAATTCTAGAACATTCTATTTCGAAACCAAGAGAGATATCGAAATTGTGACTTCACCATACTTTTTATGCATTCTATAAATAAACAAAATAAGTAAATAAAAATAATTTAATATGTCAGTAAGTGAATCAGACCAAGATGAAACTTTTCTTGATGAGGAGAATATTGATTTGGAGAACTGTACTCATTGTAAAATGGAGATTCAGGAAACTGATAAGGGATACTTGTGCGACATATGTCTGCATAAAATACACAAACAATGTGCAGACTTGGCGCCATCTGAGGTAAAATGCATGCCACTACTAAAACGAAAATTAACCCTACTGTGTAAAAGCTGCCAAAAAACAGCTGCTAAGTCGGCAAATATTTATAAATTATTGCTATCAATGAGAAATGAAATAAATGGCTTGAAGCAAGAAATCAAACATTTAAAAACCGACCAAAAACCATCAAGCACTCCTGATTACACTATTCAAGCAACATACGCTACTGTAGCCAGCATGCCAACAAACTCCCTAAAACAGAAAAATCTTCAAACTAAAAATATTCCCAATATATTAATTAAACCAAAAAATACACAAGAGGCTACTACCACTAAAACTGAACTGATGGATGCTATCAAACCATCACAATTAAACATAGCAATTAAAAAAATACAGAGCACTAAAAAGGGAAGTATTGAAATAAAGTGCAATAGCATCCAAGATGTGCAAAAACTTAAAAAAGCGGCAGTGGAAAAATTAGGAGTTTCCTATCAGATTGAAGAAACCAAATTAAAGAATCCTCAAATAAAGATTACCGGATTTGATAAAAACATGACCAATATTGAAGTAGAGCAGGCAATAAAAAATCAAAATAATCTTATTGCAGAAAATGAATTATTTGAAGTTGTGCACATAAAAACTAACACAAAAAGTAACAAAAAAACCATTTTTGCTGACTGTTCACCCACAAATTTTCAGAAATTAATTACAGTCGGAAAGGTCTTTATAGATTGGGAAAGATACACTCTATATGAAAGTGTGAAACCTCCTCAATGCTACCAATGCTGGGGTTTTTATCATAAAAATACCAGCTGCACCAACAAAGTTGTATGCTCATATTGCGCTAAGGAACACCCGAGACGTGAATGTCCTTATGTAAAAACAGGACAAAATCTAAAGTGTCAAAACTGCAAAGGAGCAAATGATAAATATAAGACAACCTATTCCACAGACCACGAAGCAAGTTCCCGCGATTGCCCAACTTACCAGTATCATACAAAAATGATTAGGAGCAGAATAAATTATGGTCAAGCTTATGGCTATAATGACTAATAACTTGGTAAACCTGATAAATATACTTGAAGATGAAAATTTGGGCGAAACAATTAATCCAGACCAGATTCGGCATAAACATGATCCCAACAACAGTTTAAATATACTCCATCTGAATATTAGTAGTGTTAGAAAAAACTTTGACAGTTTGGTGGCCTTCCTACAAACCTATAATTTAGATTTTTTTGATGTTATAGCATTGACAGAGTGCTTTAAACTGGACTCCTACAACGAATTTTCTTTAAAAGGATATAACAGCTATTATAACCAAGGTAGTATTAATAAAAATGATGGCGTTTTGACTTTTGTAAGGAGCAGTTTAAACCATGAAGTTAAAAGCCACACTCTCCAATCGACAAAAATAATAGTAAGTAGAATAATTTTGGATGTAAGCAGTGTAAAGTATGGTTTAACAATAGTGTACAGGTCACCCTCCACAAACAAAAATAACTTTTTCTATTTTGGTGTCATATTGAAGTCTTTTCGACACTAAAAGTAGTTTCGAAAAGAAGCTCTTTGTGGCACTCCTTTTTTACTTATCGAAGGTTGGTAACACTGGCTGACTGATGGCCATCGAACTGTCATTCACGATTTCATAATAGAAGATTTCTTTATTTGGCAAGTAGTGTTACCAACCTAAACATAAGAAATCAGGAAATATGAGAATAAAATGTTCAAGAAAAATTTGTTTTTCTTAATTAAACAATACCAAAATAGAAAAAATAGTATAAAATATTCGTTTCATAAGACATTTTATCGCACTCGCCCTTTAGAAAACTCGCCTCCGGCTCGTTTTCTAATATAGGGCTCGTGCGATAAAATGACGTCTTATGAAACTTGTATTTTAATGTACTATTATAAATGACTTTGAATATTACTTTAAAAATGACATTACGGAGAAAAATATTGAAGTAGTGGTTGGTGATATTAACTTTAATTTATTAGATAACCAAGATCCTCTTACTGTCACCTATTATTCAATGTTAACCTCTAATGGTTTTGAATCATATGTAAATAATATTACTAGAGAAAAAACAAAAAGTTGTTTGGATCACATATTTGTCAAAATGAATCTTAAATTAAATAACATAAAAACACTTTCGTATATCATAAAGACTGACATTACAGATCACTATCCAGTTTCATTAAATATTGCAACCAAAAAAGATAATAATAATAGCGACAGCAATACTGTGATAATCTCAGAAATTAACTGGGGACAGCTGAATGAGTTCTTTAAAGAAGAAAGGTGGGCAGAGGTATTAGATACTAACGAAACAGATCTTAGCTTTAGTAAATTTATTACCATTGTTCAAAATTATTTGACGCAAAGCAAAACTGTAAAAACTATTAACACAAAACACAAAAAGTTAAAGCCATGGATTATGGATTTCACAAGGATTAATTAAAGCTATCAAAACGAGAGACAGGATTAAAAGGCAACTTCAAACACACTTTACAACAGAAAAAGAGATAGAATACAAAAATTATCGAAACCACCTTAAAAAGCTCTTAAATACAGTAAAAAACGAATATTATAAGCAAAAAATAGAAAGTAGCAAACAAGATATTAAAAAAACATATAAAATTATTACAGAAATAACAAACAATAACAAAAAAACAAAAAGTCTCTTAAAAATTACAGATACTAATAACAAAAATTTTGAAACTGATCTTGAAATGGCAAACCACTGTAATGAATATTTTTCAAACATAGGTCTTCAGATGCTGGGTAAAATACCTCAAGTTAAATTAGAAAATAATATTGAATCAGTGAACAAATCAATATTCCTAACTCCAGTAACTGACAAAGAACTTATTCAGCACATCAACAGTTTAAAAACAGACAGTAGTCCAGGTCTCGATATGATTACTGTAGAACTTATCAAAAATATGCATCAGTATCTACTGGCACCCCTTAAGCATATTTATAATCTCATTTTTGAAACAGGGACTGTACCTGGCCATTTTAAGAAATCAATAATTATACCAATCTATAAATCAGGTGCTAAAAATCAAATATCAAACTACAGACCAATAAGCTTAATTGGTAACTTCGCTAAACTTTTTGAAAAGTGTCTAAAAAACCGCCTCACAAACTTTTTTACAAAAAACGGTTTGTTATCAAAAGACCAATATGGATTTACAGAGGGTGTCAGTACCACTGATGCAATAGACACCTTGCTCAAGGAAGTCACTAATAACATAAATCAAGACAAAAAGTGTATTGCTGTATTTCTGGACCTGGCGAAGGCCTTCGACACAGTTCCTCACAAAATACTATTGAGGATTTTAGAATCCAATGGAGTGAGAGGGACTGCGTTGAGGCTTTGTACAGACTACTTAACTGATCGGGAACAACAAACAAAAATTGGAAACGTTTTTAGCGGGCCGCAGAGGATTAATATAGGTGTCCCCCAGGGCACTGTCCTTGGCCCAATATTTTTTAATATTTACATAAAAGCTCTGGTAGATCAGGGAATAATGGCAAAAATAATTTCGTATGCAGATGACACTGTAATGGTCTTCTGTGGCAGCACTTGGGAAGAGGATAGATCTAAGGTAGTGGATGGTTTGAAACGAGTCAAAACTTGGCTAGATACCCATAAACTTTCATTAAATTTGCAAAAAACCAATTACATAGCTTTTACGAAAATCGACAGAAATCGTCC